GAAGTCGTTATAAAACAAAACGATTTTTTAAATGTTTCACTTATGCATTCCTTTTATAACGGTTAAAGGAATATTAAATTACTGTAATTGTGTTTGGATAACCATCACGCACCTTCATTTTTTCCAATCTTGTCAATCTTCACATTTGCGAACGGTAATGTAATCTAGATCTATCTCTACCCCTCTTAACTCCTGCTTCTGCTTCCAATAGGTCTTTATGTCTGAGAAGTGTCATGCCTTCCTATCTAGCATGTTGCTTATTGACTTCCATAAAGCCCTTTGTTCTTCTACTGTTTCTAGTACATCTTAATTTTACACCTTTTCTATCCACGGTTTTTTTTTAATATCCTCACAGCTTCACATCTCAAACGTAAACGCATCGGAAAACGGTAAAAATGTTGCTGTACGATAATTTTTAATGCATTACAGTAGTTCATAGCAAAGGTCATCTTTTTATTATATTTTAAATATTAAGAACATTATACATTAATATGAAACATGACCTCGAAACTACGTGTTGCTATGTATAGGTACATTTATTTTTATCGCAAATTCTTCCTGGTTTATGATAAATACATTGACGTAATGTTTTCGGCCAAAAATTGATATGGTTGAAGGCGTATTTTACTTCATTAATCAATTATTCTTTTAGGTTCATTACTAAGTATTACACATTACTCTTTTAAAGTTGTCGTGATACGTGTTGTGACAAAACAAAAACGGGAAGGTTCTGAAATTAATTAAGAACATTCTACAATTACGAATACTTTTTAATATCTCACGGAATCATCGATAAAAGACAGCTTTAATAGTGCGATAGCAAGAAGTAGAAACAATGAAATATTTCTCGCTTCTAATTTTTTAGTGTCCCTAAAATTTTGCAGCCCTGGTGTCTCACGGACCTAAGCGTAAATCCAGCAGTGCATAGGGGTGATTTAAACTGCTGGACATTACGTTATTTCTGTTTCTCACTGTATACAAGTAAATTTTGTTGGAAATGCGTTCGATAAAATAGATTGGCGCGCGCATGAGGGTAGGTCGTGACGATGACGACGAAGGGGTTAAGGTTATTATTAGAAATGGAGCGATTAATAACAGTAAACGTTTACATATTAATTATTAATCAGTTCGATTGATATATTATTCAATACATTTATTTAAAAGCACGTCTTTTGTTATATATAAATCACGGTATGGATGTTTAAAAATTAACTTACACAGACCAAAAGTGATATTTTCATAGCGACTTATCATTTTCTATTATACCTGCTTTTACACTTTTCAAAATGATCAAACAAAAATTTTATAATTATATGATTATAAAAAAGGTCCCA